ACCTCCGGCAACCAGCCAGTCAGTCTGTAGAAGTACCTAGTAGAACAGGAACAGAGTGGCTATATGCCCGGCAGCCGGCATACATCTGACGGCTGCCGGGCACGGTCTTTGATTTCCTAAATGCCCGGCAGTTTTTAATTTTTAGCGTTATCTCAAGTAAACAAGGATTAGGGTTAGGGTTAGGGTTAGGGTTAGGGTTAGGGTTAGGGTTAGGGTTAGAGTTAGGGCTAGGGTTAGGGTTAGGAACTGCCGAGTATTTAGGAAATCGAAGAGCTGCCGGGCATATAGCCACAGCGTAGGCCTACTCGATAACCGTCGCAACAAGTTCGCCTATCTGCATGCATTCTCGTCACACATCTGTACTATTAGTTAATCGGTAATCTCACTTAGAGTTAGGATGTAAGTTCCAGAACACACCGACAGAGTAGTGCAAGTGGCCACAGACAGCATTGTTGCAGCCGGGCAAGATCTAGAACTATAGCTTTTCGGGGGGGTTTCAATGCTTTTCTGGGGGGGGGGGGGAAAGTTTTTTTTGTAGCTTTTCGAGAGGGGGGGTTCGGGGGGAGAGAGAGCTATAGGCACTCGTATCAGTACCTGATGTGCATGGTCAGACACCAGATACGATGCAACACCAACAGTGGTTTTTATGCAATTTTTCGCTGTACTTTTTTGCAAACAGAACGTATGCTATTAATTATAACAAAGCAAAAATGTCCGAAATTTTGCAGCAAAAAAAAATTTGGCTTGATGCTTCGTTTTCGATCGACACGCAAATTAATTGGAAAATAATGGCATTTATTTACAACACGGTTAAGGTTCTACACCGGGCAATCATTTTCCATAGGCGGCGATACTTACGAAAAGAATCCCTTAAATCAGCAAAACAATTATTTTTTTTATAAATAACAATGCCATCCTCTGAATCCAAGTCGCAAGTGACACTATATATGTTATTAACACAAAAATGCTTCCATAATTTTTTTTGTAAACAAAATTTTGCCAGCACACACTCGAAATGCCCAATTTACAATGTGAATCTGCACAAAAAGTAGGCTTTCTTTGAAAATTCCTGGGCCGCCTCAGCAACGCACCTCGGACGAGCCGTTTACACTGTCGGATTCAGAAAAAATTCTAGTTTTTGAAATTAACAATTGCAAATGGTTCTAACCCTTTCTAATAAGAAATAAAAAATTCAAGCGCACGCAGACACTCAAATACGATCTTATTCTGACCCTGTCCCAGCGCTCATTTGTGGATTTCCCACCGTGGTACCTAAAGCCCTATTGCAACGGCGAATTAACAAGAAAGACAAAAACAAATCGGTATAAATATATTTTATTATTTATTCATATATAACTGTACTAGTATCAACCAGGTTTGGTGTAGGGTGAAGAATTCCTTTAGAAATTTAGTAGTAACTAGATTTCGTATTTAGTTAGCATTATATTTTATTGAAACGCTTCAAGTGCCTGTGCACGCAACAGTCAGAGTCAAATCTCAAATGTACAGAAATGGCGATATCTAGAGCTGTGTATTCATGCTTTCGCGGAAAATACCCAATATCAACGTTTGTTGAGGTAATTGACTGCGGACACCACGTCATATAAGTGCGTAAATGACGCGCGGAAATACGAAGAGAAATGTGAGGGCCGTAGCAGACGGATTGTAAGTGAAATCGCGTGAAATACGCGAGCGTTGAAATCGCGAGAAACAGTCAAAACAAAGTGAGTACCTTCGGTTAAAACACGTTTTGTCTCGCCTTTCTGACAACAAATTACAGATTTCTTGCTAGAAATGATTAGACAACATCCTCAAGAAGACCTCTGTTAATTTTTAAGAGTGTACCTCCACATTCACGAAAGTAACCACATGGGGGTTTAAACGCTACTCTGAGCGAAAGGGCCGTTACATGGTAATCGATTCATAGTTCCTGTTAAAAGTTCGCAAAATATCTACTACGTGCAAGCTGTGTAGATATACAGTGTTCTAGTTGTGCACACTTCACCCTTGTCTCTGCCATGATTTCGACACGACTAAGAATCGTAGATCTTGATGTGTTATTTGAACTTGAAATGCTGCATTTTTAAATCTGAAAACAATTTGCTAATGCCACACCAGAATCGTACACATTACCTGTTCACATAAACAATGAACAGTAATTAGGCAAGGTATGAGACCATTTCGATATAGTCTTTACTAAAAAATGTAAGCTTTCTCAAAACGTGCACAATGTCACAGACATACACAAATCCACCTTCGGTGTATAATTTTTAGATAACTATAACTATACAAATTTCTTTTTCAGGGGACATCTCGCTCAACAGTGCAATGCAATCGACTGAGATATTGCAAAGAAATTGATGCCATTCAGTTCGTGGAAACCGTTTAAATATAATCTAATCATCTCTATATTTTGTAACACTGACTCGTATACTATTTCTGCTTTTATTTTAGTGTTTAAAAGTATTTAACTTCTTGCTTTTTATATTAAATTGATATATTAGCAATACTATTAATGTTTTCGAATTCAACATTATATAATTTACATTATCCACGCTTTTAACTAGACCGTAAAATATTAAACACATCTGATAATATTTACTTTCTTCTCAAGATTAATCTAAATTGTTCACTTTCTATATGTATCAGTTATGATATATATTCTAGTTTTATGCTTTGTTTTGTTCTAATTTGCTTAACCACTATTTTCCACTTTTTATTTTACCGTAATATTACTATTCAGATGTTCCATTTCTCTGTCACACATGTTTAATAAATATAATCTTTGCAATCCAAAAAAGCAAAGTATCTACTTTATTCTTCAATGTTTTGCATCTTTTTCCACTGTCCATATACCCACACCACCCTTTCAGTAATATGTAACTGCTACTTTTATTCTCGGGCCAGCAAAGTCTTGGTTGGAAAACACTAAACAACACAAACCCCAAATAAGTTCCACTTTATTCCCGCCACTCTGCGGTTTACTAAGACACAACACTTGTACAAACAAAATTAACTACACAACTATTCCCTGATTAACATCACAATAAACACGCATACATCTCAAACAGTCTCGACTTCAAGTGTACCTGAATACTTTAATTATTATACGCAGCGTTACGAACTGATCCCACGTGAATGCATCAACGATTTTATACGGCTATTGATTCGGCTATGGAACAATTTTCCTTCTGTCAATACTAATCCTAGACGCAAAGGTTTCGTGATCACAACAGCTACTTTACTGGCTTTTAATATCTCGTACATAGACACATCTTAGACCATTCGCAACAGCAGATACATATACGGATCTAATCACGTATTTTCCTATTTGTCTCCGACACAATTCGATGAGTATGCAACATTATGATTGTAACTATACAGCTGCATATACACGCTTCAGGAAACTGATAAAGGAACGCCTTAAAACCTCATTGACGAAGCCATAAATTAGAAGCAAAAACCATGGTCTGGACAAAATAATTGCGTTAAAACTTAGCCGAAGACTTTCAGTGAAATCCAATCGAAGAACAAAATTACCAAATGTCAGTATAGAGGGCGCTTAAGCGCATTTCTTTTCCGGCGGGATGCCGACCATTAGAATCATGACCAGCGTGGGAAAACAGACGTCCAAGCTGGTCAGTGTGGACCATATTCGGCGCATATGTTGCAGCCCGCCGCCGTCGCCCCAGGCCTTCTTGCCATTGTCCAGTTCGAGCATGTTTTGCCACTGTGCGATCAGTTTGCGTAGCGAGGCCAACATGTCGCTCCAATGAAGCAGCACCGACCGGTGGAGTTGCAGCCGAGAATGACGCGGCCAATGGAATCCGAGGATCCGATCCTATCATAGTCGACTACGGTGACGATCAATGACACTTGAGCCCCTCCCATGGGTTTTAAGGCACAAGGGAACAGCAGTATTAACTTTCAGGGAACTGGATATTGTCAAATTATTTTCAGGGAACAAGGGAACTGCTGATTAGATTTTTGGGAACAAGAAAACTCTCTGATTTTCTATCTTTGTGATTTTTTTCACAATTTTCTGAGATTGCGTGCGTGCGTGTGTGCGCGCGTGTATGTATATATATATGTATATATATATAGTATATGCGGCGCGCATAGTGTGTGTGTTATGTTGTTGTGTTGTGTGTGTGTGTCGGTTAGTGTTTGTTTGTGTGTTGTGATGTGATGTCGTGTGTGTGTGCGCGCGCGCCGCCGTGTGTGACAGTTTAACTAGGACATCGGCGCTTCCTTCGGACTTCACAAAGAATAACTGTGACACCCAGAAAGAAACGCTAGAATGCGTCAACAGCAGAGCGGTCTGGAGCGTACATATACCAACTTGTTAATCCCGTCTACACGCCGCCTTTTTCTATCATAGCGTCTTTATCACGCCTAGCGCACTGATCAGCTTTTGCTAGAGCATTCTATGTTGCATAACCACTGGTTATATAAGCAAGCACGCTAGCTGTTGGTATCGTCAGTCGATGCCCGTAGCGGCAGACATGATGCGATGTGTCTACTAGCGCCTGTTTGTCTGTGCAGGCGTAAGACTCGTCACGCGTGACGGAGACCGTTCGTGCTATCAGAATTAGAGGGTTCGCCCCATCTCAGTGATATACTCCGCCTAACTCTCGCGAACACGTACACGGGGATATTAAATTCTGGCATCACGCAGACGATGAACAAAAACTTGCATTACCTACTATATCTAGCATGTATTTTCCTCTATAGAAAATAATGAGATGGTTATAGTTGTTTAGTTTATCTATGATCGACACCCGTCTACATTACCGCGAAAAGTTCTATCAAAGATAAAAACGAAGACAATAAATACAACAGGGATAACAACGACTGCAACGACGACAAAGACAACAACAACAACAACAACAACAACAACAACAACAACAACAACAGCGCCATATAACAAGAGAAGTCCGCTATCTATGTACAACTGCAGCAGCAGTAATAATAATAATCATAATAATAATAATTTTTTTTATAATACTATTGTTTTATTTGTATCACAGGCACTTCAAAACATGTGAATGCAAAGAACGAAACAGACATAACAGGTCATTTGCAAATGCGTTAGAATAAAGGTGAATTATTGTCCGTGTATGGGTATAGGTATGACACGAGTACGAACATAAATTACTGCAACGATGTCTACAAACACGGCAGCAACATTCAGTTAGAGTTATGGCAACTAACACAAACTGAAAATATACATAGTAAAATGGGAGACGACAATCGATAGAAGAAAAACGAAATTTGACAGGAGGACAACTACAAATGTAACATTAGAGAATAACAAAGCAGACTTCTGAACAGTAACATCAAACCGCGTACGTGTATGAAACATAATATTAATGCTGGTGTAATTATAAATACATGAATAACTGAACTGTAGCTGATGGCTATACAAGTAGATTGATTGAAATATTTAATGATGCATTTTCACACAAAATAAGTAAGTGCTTTAGTATAATATAGTCTTTATAGACATATGAATCATTCAATGTCTCCACAGGGAATGTACGTGGCTACAGGTTTATGATGCTGGTGAAATCAGGTTGATAAACCCTCGCCGAGTTAGTTGAGATAAGCTGTTAATTATTAGCACTGTCTAAACAAATGTTGGTAATGTTTAGATGTAATTCAAATAATCAAATGGCAAATCTTCAATTGTGAAAATGGACAAAAATGGATGTAGAATAGATCATTAAATAATTTTATGAAGCAAATAATACAATGAATTATACACATCAACAGATGATAACGGTCCCTCGTGGAATATTGCTATTTAAATAAAATATTAAAATGTTCTTCAGTGCGGCGATTTGTTACATAAACAATAAGTTAATTATAAATCGTGCTTTCTTACAGTAACTTCTACTAAACAGCTATGATATATACCAATTATATCTCAAACATGATGTAAACGTATTAAATGAGTTTTGAGCAGATTTTCTGAGAGCAAGCCGCTCGTTGGCGTCATGACACACTCCAGAGACCCGATGTTCGGATCGCAACGCGCCCATCGCGCCCATCGCTTATTATCTACAACACAACAATAGATTATAGTGCGGAGCAGACAACGCGACTAGGAGACGTTCAATTCTTTTATAACAGGACCGCGGCGGTCTTGTTTCCTTCGATGCGTGTTTGATGTGGGCAACACCCTCGTAGGAAAGCTATACAATTTATCACGGCGTTCTTTCCGAGAGCTCTGGTTCCACCACCGTTTCTTCCCCACGCTCGGCTTATTTCCACGGTTAATAGATGGAACCACGAGGTCGCTAGTGCTGAGACGCGGCGGCGGAGCGTTCGGCAAAGGCGTCTGGGGAGGGCTGCCGAGCAGGTTTCCGTGCTTATCGTAGACGGTCAACTTGGCAACCCACTGGTAGCGGTCGTGATATTTTATTGTCCCGAAAGCGAAGAACTCGCGTTCTCGCTGGTCTAACAGCTGGCTGATGTGAAGCGTTGCCCACCTGTAACAGCGCGCGCATATTTTAACAACTTAAAATTAATTTTAATTTATTAATCATTATTCATTAATCATTATAATTGTTCGTTGATTAAGTTCTTATGGTTGTAAGTATTGTCTCCAGCTGGGTTGTTTGAAATCTTCTCGTTCTGTAATTCTCGTATGAAACTAACCGAAATGCGAGTAAGTGCAGATGAGAGCATTAAAACGTATTACATTTCGCTTCTATATTCGACTTTATTCGTTTGCTAGTTGTGCTGGCTATAGCGCCATTATAATTTGACGTAAACACGGGGACTCACACCATGAGAACTTTACCTACCGGTTACACCACTTGACTCTGACGTAGCCAGCAGCAAAGAACTGCGCTCTCCATTTGATGACGTAGATGTCTTTTTCCAAAAACATGTTGATCGCTGCTTTTTCTCCCGGTCCCACCACTACGCCAATGACGATATTTTGAAGGATCCTCACAGATACTCTCTTAGAGTACGAGGAGGAGAATGATTTTCTTTCTGACGCCCCGGACGAGAAGGAAGAAGACACCTGTAAGTTATTCACAAAAAGTGTTATACTTTTGTTATTAAACGTAAAACATGTAAAATGTCGATTTAGCATATATAAGTAATGTATTAATACAAATTACACCCCCTCTCTCACGCACACGCGCCCTAACAACACGCACACGCAGCTACATACGCACACGCAGGTACACACGCACACGCAGGTACACACGCACACGCAGGTACACACGCACACGCAGGTACACACGCACACGCAGGTACACACGCACACGCAGGTACACACACACACACACACACACACACACACACACACACACATACACACACTGTGTAAATGTGGTATGTGTGTCGTGGGTGCGCGTGATGATTGTGCGTGCGCATGGCCCGTATGTGTGTGAATACGTGTGTGCTGCGTGGCGCGAGTGTGTGTGTGTGTGTGTGTGTGTGCGGCCGCGTGTGTGTACAATATATTTTGACAACGGGCGGTGTAAACGTGGGGCGGCACCGCTTACCCGCTTCCCAATGCTCTCGACATTTTTAGACGCGTTTCGATTGTCAAATTGTTTCGATTGTTTCGTTTGTTAGAGCACACACATACCCACACTCATACATGCCCATAACGCTTTTGAATTGTGTTTAAAAGTATTAATGTGTTTCTCACAGCGGTTTTGAATGATAATATAGCTTCTACTAAATATTAGATTAAAGGCATAATAATAAGCATTTATTATGTGGGGCTTCACTAGCATAGGCCAGCAGAGGCGATTCAGACGTTTTTGCCGATTGGGAAATACGGTCCTAGATTCAAAAGTGGCCTTCGAAATTTTGCGCTAAAAATAGCAGAAAACATTTTGATGGACATTTGGCTATATTCTTATTTGTTTTCTTTTCTTCTGCTTCAATTGACGAAACTTGAAGGAAATCCAAATTACATGGTATCTTGATATCTGAAAAGAGGAAGTGCTTGAATCATTCTGCCATCTAATTGTTTTTTTTTTTCGCCTGGTATGCAAAGGCGCAGCAATAATGGCAGCAATAAAACTTCCATATGATCTTTTGCTATTGGCTGCTTGACAATGTGTGGCTGCAATGGCTGGTCATTTTTGTGGCCAGGAACGCCTTGACATTTTAGAAATTTCTTGGGGAGCCCCCAGATCTCCCGCAATGTGCTTCGCGCTACGGTCGGCCACTGTGGAGATGGTGTGGCGGGCCTTTTTGGGGGATGTGCCTTAAAATTGGTAAAATAGATGTTCATAGGCTAAGGCCCTGGATCCGCCCTGGCAAGCCAGCAGCTACAAGTACGGCACGCACGCAGCCCACCGCCGCACGCGCACACACGCACACACCAAAGCCATTGCGGCTGCGGTGTATATAAACAGCATCACTGCCGCGCACAGCTGTGGCAGGGAAAATTACAAGACAAACCCAACGAGAGACGGCTGCTGTTGTATTGTGTGATGTATGTGTACTGTGTATGTCTGTGTATGCTATGTGTGTGTTGTGTGATGGTGTGTAGTGTGTGTGTGGTGTGTGTCGTGTGTGCGCGTGCTGGCGCGTGCTGGTGCGTGTGTGCGTAGTGCGTTGTGCCGTGTGCCGTGTGCGCGCCGCTCTGTGTGTAAATGTGCGTAGTGTGTGTGCGTGGTGCGCGGGTGATTGTGGCGTTGCGCATGCGTATGTTGTTGAAATGCGGTGTGTGCGTGCGGCCGCGCGTGTGTGTTGATGTGTGTCGTGCCGCGTGTGCTGCAATATTTGACAAAACGGGAGGTGTAACCGTGCCGCGCGTCCACTGACTTTTCAGAAAATATATCGTTCAAAACTACTCAATACATTTTTCTTTTAAGGAATTTCACCTTATTTTTTGATGCGTTCTAACAGAAAATATGTTCAAAAATTAAGATCTAAATAGTGAATTGTACTATGAAATCACCCCATTCCCTTTTTTTTTAAATTACAGTCATTTAAGGTACAAATGTCAGTTTTATATATATTTAGATACAACTTTTTTGAAACAAATAGTTGATTATATGACTGCAGGTCTAAATATCAGTATTTTTCGTTTACTGTAAAATTAAATACATCCTCAAATAGAAGTGCAGAGATAAACTGGTTAAAACCGATCCTCAAATCAGACCCCTCACTCAAACCCGTCTGGAGGACGGGCTAAATAGCTAGTATATATATATTCACATATAGTACATATGTAGTATAATAGGTGTGTGTGTCAACTGGCTTGCAGATATTGCACGTCCAGGCAGCCCCCGGGGCAGATCAAAGCCGACGGTGTAGCCGGGCGCTACTAGGCGAGCGGAAAACTTCTGCCCATATTGGTAAGGTTGCTGTCTATGCTCAGGAATGCACGCACATGGGCAGTTTC